GAGCTGAAGAGCTGAGGGACAGTGCTCAGGCCCAGAGTTCAAGGCCCACGACTCACCAAAAAAAAAAAAAAGTTTCCTGCCAGGGCTGGCTTTGAACCCCAATTCTCAGATCTCAGCCTCTTAAGTAGCTAGGATTACAGGCATGAGCCACCAGTGCCCGGCCTCTTTTTTTTTTTTTTTTTTAAAGCTGAATTGGTAACTTGTGAAGATAGGAGTTTATAGTCATACTTTGTCATCTTTAACAGTAATTCTAAATCAGCTGTGGAAAGGAGGACTGGTGATGTATTGTTTGCTTTTGTTGTCACAGGTGTTCCAGGACTTGGGGACTGAAGTGCTATCTGGAGCTGCCAAAGGCTACAACATATGCCTTTTTGCCTATGGGCAGACAGGCTCTGGGAAGACATACACCATGCTGGGGACACCGGTGAGTATCACCTTCTAATGCAGCCGCATCCTCAAGCCAGCATTGTTCCAGCCCCTTTGAGAGAGTGTGATTTCCATAGTCAGCCAACTTTAATGAGGTCTCGTGAACCTTCTTCTATATTAAGAGTAGATTTTTCATCACTTTAATAAAGGCAAACTTTGAATAATTAGCTTGTTTGATAAATTCTAGAAATAGCCTTAGGGGGTTGGAGGCATGGCTCATTTGATAGAGCATCAGCCAGTGAGCAAAAGCATTAGGTAATGAGTTTAAATACCATCTAGGATAGAAAGAAAGAAAGGAAGGAAGGAAGGCAAAGAAAGAAAGAGAAAGAAAGAAAGAAAGAAAAGAAGGGAGGGAGGGAGAAAGGGAGGGAAGAAAGGGAAAGAAGGGAAGGAAGGAGCGAGCCAGGTGCTGGTGGCTCACGCCGATAAACCTAGCTACTCAGGAGGCTGAGATCTGAGGATCACGGTTCAAAGCCAGCCGGGGAAGAAAAGTCCGTGAGACTCTTATCTCCAATAAACCATTAGAAAACTGAAAGTGGTGCTGTGGCTCAAGTGGTAGAGCGCTCGCCTTGAGCTGAAAAGCGCAAGGATAGTGCCCAAGCCAAGGGTTCAAGCCCTACGACTGACAAAAAAAAAAAAAAAGGAAGAAAGAAAAGAAAGGAAGGGAGGAGGGAAGAAGGGAGGGAGGGAAGGAAGGAAGGAAAGAAGGAAAGAAAGAGCCTTAGAATTTATAACTCCTTTTGACAACAGTCTTTTGTCAGCCCTGTTAAATATATCATTCCTAAGATCATCACTTGAAGGTTCTTAACATCTTTGTTGTGGGTGATACCTGAATGAATCTTGGTGCTCTTGGGTTGGGCAGAGATTTGGAGCCACGCTCAAAGGAGAGGCATTTAATCTGTGTTTGAAGGAAAAAGAACTAGCTTTTGGGCTTCCATACATTGGAAAGTATGTGAGGTTTAATGAGAGCCTTCCTTTATGATGGAAAACTAGGAGGACAAGATGCTTGTGTTTTAGGACCAGAATTACTATTCCCTTTTATTTTAGGTTTTAAGTATCCTGGTGAGATGAAGTAGAGCAGTAGGGACAGATAACACTGCTTAGGGACGTTGCTGAGGACACGTTCCTCCTGAAAAATCACTCTACTTCCCTAAGTCAGCAGCTCATTGCTTCCTTTGTCCATGTGTAGTGTGCTTCACATATATGAAGTTAAAAGAAATTACTCACTAACTCAGGGGATAAAAATCCTTAACCATAGATACAAAAGGTGAAGTAGTCACTTACAGATGTATATTTTGCATTCTTTGGTCCTCTGGTCTTCCTGTGTGCTGAGATAGGAGGTAGGGAGTATAGGAGGGACTGTGTTTATCCAAGAATTTTATAGTCTTTGTTTGATGTAAACACATACCTAGCTTTACCAGCCTGTCTTTTCCATCTATGGTGAGAGTCAGCTTCTCACAGGTGCATTTCTCTCACTAGTGTCTCTTGAGAGCCCTGGCATGTAAATCTGTACTTCCAGCGGAACTTCGTAAAGTGAAAGCTAGCAAAGGAGCCCACAGGCCCATCCTCCAGACTTAGGAGCACTCAGGTTTTGTGTGTATGAGAAAGAAGCACTGGCAAGGGTAAACAATAATGCTCTCCTTCCTTCTGTTCTTCAGGCCTCTGTTGGGCTGACACCAAGGATATGTGAGGTACAGACACTGTTTTGATTGGATCATCTCAAAGTAGGTCTCCTTTGTCTACTCCCCTTAGTGAAATCCCAACCCTCTGGTTCGTGCAGGGCCTCTTCATCAAGGAGGAAGACTGTGTCTCATTGCCCTCCTCCTGTAACATAAAAGTAAGGTAAGAGCCTATCAGCTACAGGACTGACATGTTTCTATTTTCACTCAAATTTTAGCATGTGCCATTATCTGCTCTTTGTTCCAGGGTCATGAGAGACTGGAAAAAAGCCACAGAAGGCACATTGTATAGTGTAGAGACTTAAAACTATGAATTCTCCATTTTCTTGTTGGGGCACTTAATGACCTTTTTTTTTAAAAAAAAATTAAGATGTAATTCATCTGTCATAAAATGTACTTACCAAAATGTTGAAGTATGTGGTTTCATCATTTTTTATAGTGTTTACAAGATTGCATAACCATCACCATTAACTAATTCCAAAACATTTGATCACCTCCCCCAAACAACTATCTTTTTTTTTTTTTTTTTTTTTGCCGGTTGTGGGGCTGAACTCTGGGCCTGGGCACTGTCCCTCAGCTCTTCAGCTCAAGGCTAGCACTCTACCACTTGAGCCTCAGCCCCACTTCTGGCTTTTTCTGCTTATGTGGTGCTGAGGAATTGAACCCAGGGCCTTATGCATGCAAGGCAAGCACTCTACCACTGAGCCACCTTCCCAGCCCCCAACTATCTGTCTTAAAAGCTAAATTATTATTAGTGTTTTTAAACTTTTAAAAATAAAGGTTTTGAAAAATAAATTTATAAGCTCTGTTTATAAACTATATGTATGTACACTTGTATTTCTATGAATATGTGTATATGTTCATATGTTAAATGTTTTACTGCTCTTAAAATCCTGAAACTACTATGTTGAGAGACAATTGAAGTTTCTGTGTTTCCACACAAAGCTAGAAGACAAAATTTCCCTGAGGCCTCCCCCTGCCACTTCTTCCTAATCTTCCTCTCCCATCTCTTTTTCCTCTCCTTTAATTTTTTTTCCTTCTTATGGTGCTAGGGATTGACCCCAGACACTCTGGTTTGCTTGCTAGGCTAGTGCTCTACTGAGCCATATCCCCAACCCATGAGATCAACTTTCTTGTTTTATGGTATATTTTCTTGTTTTAATATGAATGTAACACTTTTTTGTCAGTCATGGGGCTTGAACTTAGGTTCTGGGCACTATCCCTGATCTTCTCTTGCTCAAGGCTAGTGTTCTACCACTTTGAGCCATGGCTCAACTTCTGGTTTTCTGGTAGTTAATTGGGCATAAGAGCCTCACAGACTTACCTGCCTTGGCTGGCTTTGAATGGTAATCCTCAGCTCTCAGCCTTCTGAGTAACTAGGATTACAGGCATGAGCCATCAGTGTCCAGCTCCTGATTCTTTTTTTTTTTTTTTTGGCAGTCGTGGGGCTTGAACTCTGGGCTTGGGTGCTATCCCTGTGCTCTTCAGCTCAAGGTGAGCATTCTACCGCTTGAGCCATAGCACCACTTCCGGTTTTCAAGTGGTTTATTGGAGATAAGAGTCTCATGGCCTTTCTTGCTTGGGCTGGCTTTGAACTGTGATCCTCACATCTCAGCCTCCTAAGAAGCTAGGATTATAGGTGTGAGACACCAGCGCTTGGCTCAGCTCCTGATTCTTAACGTAGTACTTTTCCTCTTTTTTAAAAAAATCTAATTGAGGTGCCTTTATCTCCTTGTCCCTAGTTTCCTGGAAATCTATAATGAACGGGTACGAGATCTGTTGAAACAATCAGATAAAAAAAAGTCCTATACCCTTCGAGTCAGGGAACACCCAGAAAGGGGTCCCTATGTACAAGGTAAGTTACTGTGGTCCTAGATAACTGAGGCTCAGCTGAGGTTTTGGAAGCTCTCCTAAATGTTAACTCACTCAACATATGTATACTGAATGTTTATGTGGCCCAGCTACCATTCTGGACACTGAGTACATGATGGGAAATAGAAAAGATGTGGTCTTACTCTCATAGGCAAGCTTTAAAAAGGTTAATAAGATAAATAGATGTAATGATGCAGGAGAAAAATAACTGGAAACTTGCTTCCCTGAAAGGTAATACTGAAGCTGAGACCTAGAGGGAGCATGGGATCCATTCCGGAGAATGGTCTAGCAAGGGGAGGAGAGTGCCGATAACTAAAGCCCTGATTGGCATTTTCTTTTCCAAAACTTACATCACTAATGGGATAGGATTATAACTGGGAATCTTGCCAGGCAAAGGCATGAGATCCTATCTGAAAACAAACTAAAAGCAACAAGGACTGGGGATGTGTCTCAAGAGGTAAAGTGTGCTCACCTTATAAGAACAAGACCCTGAATCTGATCTACAGTACTGAAAAAAAATAAGTAAATACAAATAAAAAATTTATAGCCGAACAAATTGGTCAGATGTTTATAAATTTCCACCTATCCTTGAAAATAATATATACTACATAGTTGTTGTGTACAATATTTGCATGTCCCAAGTATGCTACTTGTAGTATTGAAGTTTACAGTGCTGTCAATTTTTTCTGTTTTAATAAATGCTAAAGTAGGCAATTTAAAAAATCCTATAATGATTATGGATATCTTGTTCTCATTTCTGTCCATTTTATTGTTTCTATTTTATATGAATATAAAATTAGAATTGTTAAATGTCTTCCTGATGTATTGAGTCCCTCCTTCATTTTGGTATTGGTGGGGGGTCAAACCCAGTAACTGTTTAACCTACTTTGTTAAACCCCCCAGTAACTGTTTAACCTACTTTGTTAAACCTTGTTTTATTTTTTGGTTGGTCATGAGGCAACTCTGGGCTTGGATGCTATCCCTGTGCTCTTCAGCTCAAGGTGAGCGCTCTACTGCTTGAGCCACAGCACCACTTCCAGTTTTCTGGTGGTTATTGGAGATAAGAGTCTCAGGGAAAGCTGAACGCCGGTGGCTCACGCCTGTCATCCTAGCTACCCAGGAGGCTGAGATCTGAAATCATGGTTCAAAGCCAGCCCAGGCAGGAAAATCCGTGAGACTCTTACCTCCAGTAAACCACTAGAAAACAGGAAGTGGTGCTGCAGCTCAAGTGGTAGAGTGCTTGCCTTGAGCTGAAGAGCACAGGGATAGCGCCCAAGCCCAGAGTTCAAGCCCCACGACTGAAAAAACAAAAACAAAACAAAACAAAAAAAGAGTCTCAGGGACTTTTCTGCCTGGGCTGGCTTTGAACCATGATCCTCAGATCTCAGCCTCCTGTGTAGCTAGGATTACAGGTGTGAGCCACTGGCGCCCAGCTAAATCTTTTTGTTGTTGTTGTTGATGTTTTGGTCCGGTCGTGGGGCCTGAACTCTGGGCCTGGGCACTGTCCCTCAGCTCTTCAGCTCAAGGCTAGCGCTCTATCACTTGAGCCACAGCGTCACTTCCGGCTTTTTTCTTTTTGCTTATGTGGTGCTGAGGGATCAAACCCAAGGCCTCATGCATGCAAGGCAAGTGCTCTACCACTGAGCCACCTTCCCAGCCCCCTAAATCTTATTTTAATTGCATTTGACAATAGATCCTTGAAGTTATTTTGTTTCTGAATCTCTAATACTGGATAGGGATTCTGAGACACAATTGTGAAAGCCCTTTGTGACTTGGTCAGTACCAAACATAAAGATTTCCTTACATGCCCTTCAGTGCCTCTTTTCCTGTTCAAAGCCTTCCCATTCTACAGTGGTTCAATTCAATGGTTGCAGTCTGTGAAACCTACTTGTGCCACTGCTATGCTTGTCTCAGCTGTATTTTACCTCTTCCTTCTGTAGCTCTTGGCTATACTGTCTTGGATGGATAGCATAGCTTCTCATAATTGGGGGCTGTAGGGATGATGTACTTGCATCTTGCATGTTGTATATGTCAAATTGAGTGCCACCTTGTGGGCAGAATAGCACCTGCCTATCATGAATTTTATAGGGAACAAATGAGGTACGGTTTGAGCATTTCTTTTCTTTTCTCTTTTCTTTTCTTTCTTTTTTTTTTTTTTGCCAGTCGTGGGTCTTGAACTCAGGGCCTGGGCACTCTCCCTGAGCTTCTTTTGCTCAAAGCTAGCACTCTACCTTGAGCCACAGCTCCATTTCTGGCTTTTTCTGTGTATGTGGTACTGAGGAATTGAACCCAGGGCTACATGCATGCTAAGAAAGCTCTCTACCACTAAGCCACCTTCCCAGCCCCTTGAGCATTTCTTATAGCACATGTGGCACAGTGGTGAGGATCTGTGTGAATTCTACAGCATAATCTTTGTGAAAACAGAAATGGGTTTCTACACTCCATCACAGTACCTGACTGGGTTTCTAATATTTACTGATTTATTATCTGAATGAGCTCTGCCAAGTTTCCTCATTTCTCATTTATCAGTGACATGAAACATGAATGATAAAGCTAAATACCTACAGGAAATGATTAAACGTGACTGAAATTTTTATTCGATTTCTTTCCTCATCTTGGTAAATCTGACAGGTTTATCTGAACATGTTGTTACCAACTATCAGCAAGTCATCCAGCTCCTGGAGGAGGGGATAGCAAACAGGTTTGTTAGTTCCTGTCATTCTTTCAGCCCCATTCTTGTATATTGGGCTCCATTTTCCCTTTGGAGTATATGACTGCACTTATAATTGTCTTTGTTGGCAGCTCCCTACAATCCATATCTTGGGGGTCCTTCTAGAATAGTTGTACACCTCGGGTAAGGGACACAATCTCAGACTTAGTGCTTTTATCACAACAAACACTGTGGCATTTGTTTTGGACATAATAACAGTAGGTAGTAAGCCTGTTACTCTGTCTTTTAAAATAGGCAGCTTTGATACTTTAATTTAAGAAGAGATCTTTTTTTTTTTTTGTCAGTCATGGGGCTTGAACTCTGGGCTTGGGCGCTGTCCTTGTGTTCTTCAGCTCAAGGGGAGTGCTCTATCACTTGAGCCACAGTGCCATTTCTGGTTCTTCTAGTGGTTTATTAGAGATGAGAGTCTAATGGACTTTCCTGCCCAGGCTGGCTTTGAACTGTGATCCTCAGATCTCAGCCTCCTGAGTAGCTAGGATTACAGGCATGAGCCACCAATGCTTAGCTCCAAGAAGAGATTTTTTGCACACATTGTTTTCCCTCAATAAAGATGAAGGTAGCACATGTTTCAGAAAACAATGTTCTTCTTTTGCATATTCGTGATATTATCCCTAAAGTAGTCCTCTGTGAATAACTGAATGCTGCAGACCCCTCTAAAAGCTATTGTACCCTCCTGTGAGAGCATTCCATATTTTCAGTTAGTAGTAAAAATCTAGAATACGATTTTTTTGTTGTTGTTGTTGGTGGTGGTTGTGGGTCTTGAACTCTGGGCCTGGGCGCTGTCCCTTAGTTCTTCAGTTCAAGGCTAGTGCTCTACCACTTGAGCCACAGCACCACTTCTGGTTTTCTGGTCGTTAATTGGAGATAAGAGTCTCACGGACTTTCTTGCCGGGACTGTCTTTGAACCATGATCCTCAGATCTCAGCCTCCTGAGTAGCTAGGATTAAAGGCGTGAGCCACCAGTGCCGGCTCTAGAATATTATTATTAGTAAATGCCTTGGGTAAAAAGCTTCTTATTTTCTTGGAAGAAGAATAAGTATTGAGTCTTCCATTTATCCTGTTAATAGCAGGATTTTAATTTTAACTGAGAACAAAAGGAAAAATTTAACATTCTACTCTTAGGGTTTCATGAAACTCCCCCAAAGGAGCCTGCGTCTTGTCTGCAGGTACCCTGAGCTCCTTGATGGTGAATTCCCTCCTGAATTATGAAACCAGCCTCTAGTTTTTGACAAGTTTCTCCTCTTCTCCAATTCCCAAGTTAATGAGATAGTCTGGGATAGTTTGAGAACAAAGTATAATTGACTTAGATTTAGATAAAAGGAAGATTACTGAATTTTAGGAGGATTTCTAAGAGAGATTATACATTCTGTCTGGTTTAACTAATTGTCTCATTTTAAAAATAAAAAATATTTTAATGTAAAAATTTTATATATGTATACTATACATTATATATTATATTTATAACTGTATTATGTTGTATATTGTATATCATATTATATACATTTATATGTATAGTTATATATGTGTATACACACACATGGTCGTGGGACTTGAACTCAGGGTCTGGGTGGTGTCTTTGAGCTTTTTTACTCAAGGTTAGTACTCTACCACTGGAGCCACAGCTGCATTTTCAGCTTTTTTGGTGATAAATTGGAGAAGAGTCTGACAGACTCTAACCATGACCCTCAGATCTCAGCCTTCTGAGTAGTTAGGATTCAGGCATGAGCCACTAGTACCTGGCTTTAGTATGGATATTTTATGATTCTTATCAGTGACATGCTTGTAATCCTAGTTACTCAGATGGCTGAAATCTGAGCATTGCAGTTCAAAGCCAGTCCTAATAATTCTTGTATTCTCCATGGATCCCTCAGGCTCTTCCAGCTATGAGCAACCCTTGTTCTGTCTTCCTTATATTCACAGAATCACAGCAGCCACCCATGTTCATGAGGCCAGCAGCAGATCCCATGCCATCTTTACTATTCACTACACTCAGGTTGGTTACTCCTCATATTTGATGACGTTCCTTCCTTTTGTCCCTTCTCACTCCCTTGATTTCCATCCTCTTTTCCTTTCCTCCTGCTCTTCCACTCACAGTTCTCTGAAATGACCTAGTAATACAAAGGAATGTTAATAGTCTATGAAGCTATCACTTGAGATAGGATAGTGGCATTTCACAGATTCATCAAGTATCTTCTACTTATTTAACATTCGGTACACTTTCACATATACTTGGTCAGAATAGGTTCATTTAAAGTCAACATCAAGGTGGAAATGAAAATAAACATAAAAATGTAAAAGTAAACAATTGACTTCCACTGGATGGAATGTAGAGACTGACAACTCTTATTCTCAGAGAGCAAACTTGAAGCTGAATAATACTATTGATATATTACAAAAATAGACTAAATGCATGTACTAAGCTGAAAATACATATTTAAGAAAACTACTGAGTTTCAGATAAAATGAACACAAATTCATGGTGTTCTTTCTTTTGACTGCTCCCGTCCTCTGTCCAGTACTGTTAGATGGGCAGTTTACTGATGGGAGAGAAAGCTGTGGAAATCAATTTGCTGTTGCTTCTGCCAGAGGTGTTCACCTGAGTGTGCAAAATGGACGAAAATGGTGGTCTCTGAGGAGCAAAGACTGGGGTGTGTCAGTGACTCCACTAGTCCTAGGTGGGATCTTAGGCAAGACCTGAATTGGCAGCCTGACTGGGGATTTAACAGGGAATAGTGGAAGATAATATAGCTATGTGATATATAAACTCCTTATACATTCTGGGTATCAGGAGCTGGGCACATACTCAGTAGAGCTCACTGGACCCAAACCGCCACATAGACCTGACAGAACATGAACAAATATGTAGAAGAAGCACAAGAGGTTCCCAAATGCTGGGATAAATGGAAAAGTGGCCAGAACGGTTAAAGCATTTCCTTATGTGTGCATGCCCACACATAGATCCTTCAACAGAGAATCAAGACACTTGACTATAATTTCTGAGCAGTCTTTGGCTGAACACTAAGCTATACAGATACAAGGCAGCCTCTAGGAAACCAGGCTCCAAAGTAAAAACAAGTAAAGGAAGAACTGAACATACTTGCTTGGCTGCGTATTCTGGACAGGCAGACTTCACAGATTTAGTCAAGTCAGTTTACTAAATGCTAAGTTACCACTTCAAGAAGAAAAGTTAGCATCGTCTTTTCTTTCCTTCCTTCCTTCCTGTCTGTCTTTCTGTCTTCTTTCTTTCTTTCTTTTTGTTGATTGTGGGACTTGAACTCTGGGTCTGGCCACTATCCCTGAGCTCTTCAGTTCAAGGCGAGCACTCTACCACGTTAGCCACAGCACCACTTCTGATTTCCTGGGTGGTTTCTTGGAGATAAGAGTCTCAGGGACTTTCCTGCCTGGGCTGGCTTTGAACCGAGATCCTTAGATCTCAGCCTCCTGAGTAGCTAGGATTATGGGTGTGAGCCAGCGGTGCCTGGCCAGCATCATGTTTTCTTTCTTTTTTTTTTTTGGTCGTGGGGCCTGAACTCTGGGCCTGGGTGCTGTCCCTCAGCTCTTCAGCTCAAGGCGAGCACTCTACCACTTGAGCCACAGCGCCACTTCCAGCATCATGTTTTCTAAAATGTCTAATTTAGTATCAATAATTATTAGATATGCAAAAATATATTAGAAAGTATAACCCATGCTTAGGAACAAAAGCAGTCAGTAGAAACTGAGTCTTAGGTGCCCCAGATGTTGGATTTAGCATATAAGGAATTTAGAAGCTAATTTATGTTAAGAGAACAGAGGGGAAAAAATCCTGTTTAAAGAATTAAATTAGGACCAAATGGGGTCTGGGAATGTGGCCTAGTGTTAGAGTGCTTGCCTAGCATGCATGAAGCCCTGGGTGCAGTTCCTCAGTTCCATAGAAACAGAAAAACCTGGAAGTGGTGCTGTGGCTCAAGTGATAGAGTGCTAGCTAGCCTTGAGCAAAGGAAGCTCAGGGACAGTTCCCAGGCCCTGAGTTCAAGCCCCAGGACTGGCAAAACAACAACAACAACAACAAAACAAGCTGTGAGCCAGGCACCAGTGGTCTACGCCTACAATCCTAGTTACTCAGGAGGCTGAGATCTGAGCATCGCAGTTCAAAGAAAGACCATTAACCAACAGAAAACCGGAAGTGAATCTTTGGCTCAAAGTGGTAGAGCACTAGCCTTGAGCACAAAAGCTCAGAGGCAGCTTTCAGGGCCTGAGTTCAAGCCTGATGACTGACAAAAATAACACAAAAACAACAGCAGAAAAGAGCTGTGCATATTTGGGAGACATGCCTCAGTATAAATATATCTCAAAATAATTATTCTTAATAAAAGGAACCAAATGTATGATTCCATTTATAGGAAATATCTCAAAATGGCAGATTACATAGAAAACAAATGGTGCTTAGAGCTGGGGATAGCTGCAGAGACTGACTACAAACAGATCCAAAGGAATTTTTTGGGTTATTGGTAATGACCTAAAATTACTTTGATGGACACATGAATTTAAAATTTTATAAAACAAAATAACCCACATTGTCTTAAAGGAGAGAAAAAGAAAAGTAGTTTTGCTGCAGGGCAGGCGGGGGTCGGGGGAGAATGGGGGCAGATAAATGGGCAGTGCACAGTCTAACTCAACCAGGAGGATGAACCCCACCTGCAGGGGCTCTCGCTGATGAGAATCAGACTTTTGAAACAGAGAACTGATAAGTTATACTAAAATTCCAGTAGTTCCTGAAAACTACACTCAGAGGACTTAAGGAGATTTGCCCTGCTCACTCTTCCAGCATTGGTAGCCTTTATTAAGGAATGGCCCAGGCTTGCTATTTATATGTCATATACCGAGAGTTCGTCTGCTTCATAGCAACTAGAATATCTAGAGTAAGTTGGATAAAAATCTAGACTATCACCTTGGTTTGGAGAATATCTACAGGAAACATTGCAAACCATTGCAAGTGACAACTTTGACTGTGTTTTCTCCTTTAGGCAATCCTAGACAATAACTGCCCCTCTGAGATGGCTAGCAAGATCAACCTTGTGGACCTGGCAGGCAGGTAATTAGTGTTCCAAAGCCCAGGGGAGTGGGGTTACTCTTTCCTGGGATCTTGTTCTTGTCCACTTTACATGGAATAAGCTTGGTCCAGTCTTGGTCACATACCAATCATCCCGAGAAAATTATAAAAGAAATAACTTATTGAATGCTTGGTGGAAATTATGTGTGTCTGTGGCAAAAAAATATTTCTGTACATGGAGGGGGGCTGGTCTCTTAGCTGCCCATTGGAAACCTTTTAAAATTCCAGTGCCTTTATCTTGAATCAAATATATCATATTTTTAGTGTGGGTGAGAGGAATGTAGACATCACTAAAGCTGCTCAGGTGATTGACTATGATAGAAAACAGCTGCTCTAAGTGGAGTTAACTGATTGGATTTCATATTAATTTTATGAGCATTATTCACCACTTAAAAAATCTTTTAAAAATACTACTTTTTTTTTATTTGTGCCTACACTAGAGCTTGAATTTGGGCTTGAATGCTAGTTCATCTTTTTTACTCACAGCTGGTGCTTTACCACTTAAGCCATGCCTCCAGTTCCAGATATTTGCCAAACTGGAGAAGAGTCTCATAGATTTGTCTGCTTGGGCTGGCTTTTAACCTTGATGCTCAGAAGCTAGGATTATAGACATGAGCCACCAGTACCCGGCTAGGTACTGCCTTTAATTATCTAAAGAAAACGTTGCCAAGTATGGTGGTACACACTTGTAATCTCAGGACTCACAAGGCTGAAACAAGAGGATACCAAGTTTGAGGCCAGCCTGTGCTACATTATGAGTTTGAGGAGAGCTCAGCAACATATGAGACCTGTTTCAAAAGAAAAAAGCACCAGGCATGATGGCTCATGCCTGCAATCCTAGGTACTTAGGAGTCTGAGATAGGCTCAAAGTTTGAGGCCAGCCCAAGCAAAAAGTTAGTAAGACTTTAAAGACAAGCTGGGCACATACCTATGGCCTACCTACTGTGGAGGCTAAAGTAGGATTGTGAACCAAAGCTAGCCTGAGCAAAAGCACAAGAACATATCTAAAACGTGAACTAAATAGCAAAAGGATTGGGGGTATGGTTCAAGTGGTAGAGTGCCAACAGTAAGCAAAAAGCTGAATGAGAATGTGAGGCCCTGAGTAAAATTCCTACTACTGGCACAAAAGAAAGGTGTTTGAGACAATTTACAATTAATGATACAGATGCCAAAAAAGCGTTAAAATGTGAATTTAAAACAGTAAAGATAGAGAGGAAGAAACTATATTTAAAGCTACATTAATAACACTACTGGACATGTTCATATAGATAGTTTAGATTTTCTGACAGCCAAAATAGAAGCAAATGTAATGGATTATTTTCAGGATATATATCCTGAAAAGTGGGAGGTTGGTTTATTAGAGGATGCCACTTATTTATAAAAGGAATTGTGTAGGTCTTTTATAACATGCTATACAACATGATGGATAGAGTCTTTTCAACATTATAAAGCGGGTGTCTTGTTTTTTGTTCTCATTGTGTGTTTTAGCGAAAGAGCAGATCCCAATTACTGTAAAGATCGGATGACTGAAGGAGCCAATATCAACAAGTCTCTTGTGACTCTGGGAATTGTCATCTCCACCTTAGGTATCTGCGGATGAACCGGATGATTGGAGTGGGAGAAAGGCTTTGGAAAATACTAATTTTTGTTTTTCAGAATAGAGTGGATGCTTACACGATGCTTTTTGATAAGGTTATGTTCTGGTTTGGGGATATAAAACTTTGATATTTATCTGTGGTTTTAGAGCATGATGTAACTATCGTCCAGCGTTCTCATTTCAAACAGGGAGGAAACTAAAAAATTATGCTACTCAAACAATTCATCGCATGTGTTCAAAACATCCTGTCAAATGCACAGAGGGATCAGCAGTGGGATACTTAGGGCATTTACTTCATAATTTCTTCTGCTGCTTTTATTCATTTGTTAAGCCCAGAACTCCCAGATGTTCAGCAACTGCCGGATCCTCAGTAGTACAGCCAGCAATGGTGGTGACTGTGGCATCCCTAGCTCTTCTTCTGGGACCAGCAGTCGGGGGGCACCTTCCCAGAGATGGTCTTACATCCCATACCGGGATTCTGTGTTGACCTGGCTACTGAAGGACAGCCTTGGAGGCAACTCCAAAACCATCATGGTTGCCAGTAAGTGTGTGTGTGGGGTGGGGTCGGTGGGGCTGGAGCTGCATCCATGCTGGGGCTTAGTACTGTGCCTTAGGCAAAGCCCTGGCCACCTGAGCTCTTCCTTTCCTCAAGGGTCTCTCTACTGCATGCACAGCAAGCCAGTGGAAGGGTTGGAAAAGCTTGGTGTGATTTTTAAAACCTCCTTCTCTGCCTCAGCTGTGTCTCCTGCACATACTAGCTACAATGAGACCATAAGCACGCTGAGATATGCATCCAATGCTAAAAGCATCATCAACAAGCCACGGGTAAATGAGGTGAGAGGCAGTCATGGTTTGGTACAGTTTACACAAAGTTCTCTCTCCCCTTTCTATCTCTCTTCTCTCTCCCACCTCCCCTCTTCCCCTTTCTCTCTTTCCCTCTCTTCCTTCCTCTACTCCCCTCTCCCTCCCCCTCTCCTTTCTTTCTCCCCACTCTCCTCTTTCACTCTCCCTCCTCCTCTCTCCCCTTTTTGCCTCTCCCCTCTCTTTTCTCTCTCTCCATCTTTTCTTTCTATTCCCTCTCTTCTCTCTCCTTTCTCTTTTCCTCTCCCCTTCCCCCCTCTCCCCTCTCTCTCTCTCTCTCTCTCTCTCTCTCTCTCTCTCTCTCTCTCTCATTGATTTCTTTTTTCCCCCTTTGGTCAGTTGTGGGGCTTGAAACCAGGGCCTGGATGCTGTCCCTGAGCTTTTGCCCTCAAGGCTAGTGCTCTACCACTTTCAACAACAGGGCCACTTCGGTTTTCTGGGGATTAATTGGAGATAAGAGTTTCACAGACTTTCCTACCATGATCCTCAGATCTCAGCCTCCTGAGTAGCTAGAGTTACAGGCATGAGCCAGCAGCACCTAGCTAATGCCTGAGTTATTTAAGGCCATTCCTCTTAAGACAGATGGTATATTGTTGTCATTCAAAACAAGGTCATTTAAAAATGTATTTGTTAGGCCAGGTGAAGCTGGTAGCTCACCCTTGTAATCCTAGCTACTCAGGAGGCTGAGATCTGAGGATCATGGTTCAAAGTCAGCCCAGGAAGGCAAGGGCAGGTAAGTCCATGAGACTCTTATCAGCAATAAACCACTCAGAAAACTAGAAGTGGCACTATGGCTCCAATGGTAGAGCACTAACCTTGAGCTGAAGAGCTGAGGGAAAATGCCCAGCCCCAGAGTTCAAGCTCCACAACTGACCAAAAAAAAAAAAGTATTTTTTTTACTGCTTTATTGTTTTATTTCCCAGCTTTTATCTCCTAGCTAACTAAGAAGCATAAATATGAATATCTGTTGTTCTAGAAGGTACTATATTTAGCTTCTCCAAAGCTAATTGCATATAGAATTTATAGCTGTTTGGGGCCTTGTTATCAGCCAGTGGTGACTGAATTCTCTGTTTCAGGATGCAAATGTGAAGCTCATCAGAGAACTCAAGGAAGAGATCAAGAGACTGAAAGCCATGCTGTTGAGCTTTGAGCTGGTATACAGACAACAGGAATTCTGCCATATTTAAATGAGTCTCTTTCTTCAGCAACTTCATAGTATAGTATCTGGAGCCTGCTACATGCCATATTTTTAGCTGATACTTGTAGCACAAAGACAGGAGGAGGATGCCTTGGGATTCTTCTGTGGAGCTTCAGATGGGCTGGTCATCCCCTCCCTGTGTCCTCTTTTGTCCAGAAGGCCTTGCCTCAATGGCCCTTGCCCTCTGTAGGCAAACATAGGAAATGAGGTGCTAAAGGGATTTTACTTTTAGTTCTATTTTGTACAAATATGAAGCTTAATACTCAGGTTCCTAATTTACTTCTGATTTTAATGGTGAAATCTTCCTTCACAAGTGTAAGGGTGATGGGCTGGGAAGGTGGCTCAGTGGTAGAGTGCTTGCCTTGCATGCATGAGGCCCTGGGTTTGATTCCCCAGCACCACATAAGCAAAAAGGAAAAAAGTCAGAAGTGGTGCTGTGGCTCAAGTGGTAGAGCGCTAGCTTTGAGCTGAAGAGCTGAGGGACAGTGCCCAGGCCCAGAGTTCAGGCCCTATGACCAGACCCAAAAAACAAAAAACCAAAAACCCCACAAGTATAAGGGTGGGAATCTACCTGCAGTTCACACCAAGAAAACATCAAAGCACATCTCTCTTTGTGCAGAGGAACATCATTTCTTTGAACAATGAAAAGGATGAAAATCTGAAGGAACTAGTTCTCCAAAATGAATTGCAGGTGAGTGTGTTGAGTAGAACCAGTTATGCTTTACATCACCCTGGAAACAGTTTTGGTTTCCCTTTATATTCCCTAGACTAGAACTGCAGAAAGAGGGGATATATATATATATATATATATGAGTTTAAAGACCAGAGCCAGGTACCAGAGGCTCACACCTGTAATCCTAGCTACTCAGAAGGCTGAGATCTGAAGATAATGGTTCAAAGCTAGCCAGAGCAGTTAAAGTCTGTGAGACTCATCTCCAATTAACCGCACCCCCTCCTGAAAACCTGAAGTGGTGTTGTGGCTCAAAGTAGTAGAGCACAAGCCTTGAACAAAACAGCTCAAGGACAATGTCCAGGCCCTTAGTTCAAACCCCACAACTAATAACAACAAAAAAGAGTCTCATGGGGCTGGGAAGGTGACTCAGTGGTAGAGTGGTTGCCTTATATGCATGAGCCCTGGATTCAATTCCTCAGCACCACATAAGCAGAAAGCCAGAAGTGGCGCTATGGCTCAAGTGATAGAGTGCTAGCCTTGAGCTGAAGAGCTGAGGGACAGCGCCCAGGCCCAGAGTTCAGGCCCCACGACTGACCAAAAAAAAAAAAGAAAAAGAAAAAAGACTCTCATGAACTTTCCTGCCTGCTACCTTTGAACTGTGATCCCCAGATTTCAACCTCCTGAGTAACTAGGATTATAACTGTGAGCCACCAGCACCCAGCTGTTTCTTTTCTTTTCTTTTTTTTTTTTTGTTTGACTCCCCAGTATCACATACACAGCAAAAGCCAGAAGTGGTGCTCTGGCTCATGTGGTAAGGTGCTAGCCTTGAGCAAAAGAAGCTCAAGGACAGTGCCCAGGCTCTGAGTTCAAGACCCAGGAATGGAAAACAAAAAAAAAAAAAGAACTATAACTGAAGGCATTACATGTTTGGAAAGAAGGATCAGATGATAAAAGCAATCCCAAATGTGGATCACATCAAAATAAGCTTGGGAAGAGGGAAATTATAAACACAATAATCCCAATTAATTTTTTTAAATAATGTAAAGAATTTCAGGTTAGAGTTTCATCACTGGACCATAACACATTTTCTTTTTTTTTCAACTTAGAAAAACAGTGTATACCTATTGCAGAAAAAAATTAAAATGATCTTTATTGAGGGAACTTCTGTTTATATAAGAAACATTTACTGAAGAAAGCTCACAAAACAGAGATCTTACTCGTAGCTGGATGAGGTACCACAAGCTCTGTGAGGCTCCAGATGTAACCGTAGGATCATGAATCTTGAGAAAGCAGTACCCTGGGGATACACGTCAGCATGACCTCTAAAGTTCAGTCTGCTCTACGCACTGGATGTCTGAGGTTAGCTCTCATTCATCTACAGATGGACAAGCTAATTAAGGAGTGGACTCAGAAGTGGGATGACTGGCAAACCCTCATGGAACATTACAATGTGGACATCAGCAAGAAGAGGGCCGGGGTGCTCATTGATTCCAGCCTGCCACACCTGTTGGCCTTGGAGGATGATGTGCTCAGTACCGGCGTGGTGCTCTATCACCTGAAGGTGAGGGTGCTGTCGCACCGCTTTCCATCCCAAGCCACTGCTCGAGTGCAGGAGGGAAAATGTGAAAATGGAGTAGAAGGCTATAAATCAGCAATGATGTTTTTTAGTTGCTACTGTTGTTTTTCTAATATTTGCTTTTCTTCTCTGTGTCTTAATTTCCTCATTTCAAAGTAATAATGATGTTTCTTTTCTGGTCTTCTGAAGTGTAAGAGTACAGTCTTAGAGAGTGAAATCCTGACCACAAAATTACCATCCGCATAAGCAAGTCACCGTGGTGCATACCCATAGTCCCAGCTGATTGAGAGACGGAGGCAAGAGGATCACTTGTGCCCAGGAGTTTGAGGCCAGTCAGCATAACATAGCAAGACCCTGTTTCAGAAAACTAATACCATAAGCACTCCTAAACTATAAATGCAAGTTGCTAAATGATATTGGGATTCAAAAGACTAATAAGTTTTCTTCTCATGCTTTCCCATGTTAGCCCCCACATCAATAAAAACTGCATCTCCATCTAGGTGCCAGTGACTTATGCCTTAATCCTAGCTACTCAGGAGGCTGAGATCCTGAGGATCGCAATTCAGAGCCAGCCCATGTAGGAAAGTCTATGAGATTCTTATCTCCAGCTAACCTCTGAAAAGTGGAGTTATGGCTTAACTGGTAGAGTGCTAGCATTGAGAAAAACAACAGCAAAACAAAAACCAAAGAACAGAGCCAGGTCCAGAATTCAAGCCTCAGGGCTGGCACAAAAACCAAAAACCCTGCACCTCCCAGTTCTCCATCACTACATTCTACTGTAAAAGAAGGGAGAAAGTAGATAAAAGGAAGCTGCAAGCATGAGGGAGGGTTCAAAGAACTGAAGTGAGGACGTAAGGACAGAGGTATGTGTAGAAGAAAATAGAATAGAGTTAAGGCGCTCTGAACAAGACCAGTTTGCCTGGCTTTCATCACCTAGGAGCTAGGTTGTTGGTTTTTGTTGTTGGTTTGTTTTGAGAGAGGGTCTCACTATATAGCTCAGGCTGGTCTTGAACTAAAGATCTTCTTGCCTCTATCTCCCAAATTTTAGGATTACACGTATGTACCTTTATACATTTTAAGAGTTAATAATCCATGGTAGATACATACCCTGTCATCACCAAATATGTCCTTGTGTTAGAGGACAGTTCTGGTGGACTTGGCCACTGGGATGCTCCCAGTGCTCACTGAGAATTCAATTGTCATAATTGCCCCCAGATGACATTTAAAAGAACAAAGAAGGCATCAGTGGGGGATATCTAAAGTGGCTGTTATCCCTGGAGAAATCGGCTCTTCTCTGCTCCATGTGGAAATGAGAGCATAGCAAAGCTGTCTCTGTTCTTAGCTTTTAGGGAAGCTATCATAGACTGAACACGTGAGTTGCTCATTTTCTGGCACATTGGGAAAACATTGTGCAGAAAGTGGTTGTCTACTTTGGACTTAACAGATCTCAATACCCAAAGGTTACATAGAATCTTCCCTTCCTCAGAACCATAGGAAAAGAGTGAGGTCAGGAAGAGTCCAGATGAACATGATTACTGTCTGATAGAACTGATGGATGGGTTGGCTGGCTGTAGGGTGAGTGGGTGTTAGACAGGAGACCTCAGGGTGGCAGCAGAAGGTTGAGGGCCATGTCTGCTGAAATGAGCCCTAGCCTGGGGACAAGCGATGACTCCTCTGCATACAGAGGAATCCCACAGGGATTTGCACTTAGTGAACAGTGAGCACTTTGCTCCCTCCGTGCATTTCCAGAGCCCTGGGTGATGAGATTATAATCTGTCTCTAATCTTGGCACATTGGCATTTTATGTACCTGTTTTGTTTTCTTTAAACTCCTCTTACATAACTGTGTAGCAGTAATGCCCAAGATTCTGTGTTTATTTACTCACTTGACTACCAGCCAAACTAGTCCCTGGTAATGCCCTGGAAGCTGTTTTCCCATGGTTTGCCTTAGGAAAACAACCTGGGCAGGAAAAAGAGGCTGAAGGTTACTCACACCTGGCTTTTTCTTTTCTTTTCTTCTTCTTTTTTTTTGGGGGGGGTCCGGTTGTGGGGCCTAAACTCTGGGCCTGGGCACTGTCCCTCAGCTCTTCAGCTCAAGGCTAACACTCTACCACTTGAGCCACAGCACCACTTCCAGCTTTTTTCTTTTTGCTTATGTGGTGTTGAAGAATTGAACACAGGGCCTCAGGCATGCAAGGCAAGCCACTGAGCCACCTTCCCATCTTTCTTTCTTTCTTTCCTTTCTTTTTTCTAGTCCCGGGGCTTGAACTCAGGGCCTGGGCACTATCTCTGAACTTTTTGTGCTCAAGGCTAACAGTCTACCACTTGAGCTACAGAACTACTTCCAGCTTTTTCTGTTTATGTGGTATTAAGGAATTGAACCCAAGTCTTCATGCATACTAGGCAAGCACTCTACCACTAAGCCACCTTCTCAGCCCATGGCCTTCTCTTTTTCCTTCCTTCCTTCCTTTCCTTCCTTCCTCCCTCCCTTCCTCCCTCCCTCCCTCCCTCCCTCCTTCCTTCCTTCCCTCCCTCCCTCCCTCTCTTCTTTCTTTCTTTTTTCTTTTTGTCAGTTGTGGGGCTTGAACTCTGGGCCTGGGCGCTGTCCCTCAGCTCTTCAGCTCAAGGTTAGCGCTCTACCATTTGAGCCACAGTGCCACTTTTAGTTTTCTGAGTGGTTTACTGGAGATAAGAGTCTCAGGGCCTTTTCTGCCCGTGCTGGCTTTGAATTGAGATCCTCAAATCTAACCTTCCTGAATAGCTAGGATTATAGGCATGAGCCACCATGCTTGGCTGGCCTTTTCTTTTTCATACCTTCTAATTCTCCCTTCATGAAGAGGCTAAGGCCAGAGGGACAGCAAACACAGGTGGTCTTGCTTCTTGTTACTTGAGATATTGCACTTTTGTTGTTTTTTGTCTGCAAATCAACCATTGTGATATGCTCTAGTCTTCATCTTTTTGGGAAGACTGAGCCTCATCAGGACTGTCCCTATTGATGAGGACCCTCACAGGAGGATTCTGACCTCTTTTCCTTGAGTGGCTTATTTGCCAGTGTTTGTGGACTTCTGTGATCCTCAGCATCAAAGCAGGAAAGGCTGGTTTCTGGCAGTGTGTGTGCAGGCAGGGAAGAGAGGCTGTGGGGAACGAGGAGGCCAGACCTTATTCATTATCTCCAGGATTTTCTTTTTACAAGCCATGGTCGGGCTGCTCTTGCTACTGACAGTGAAGCCTAACAGAGAGCTCTCCCATCACTTTTAGCATGGCTCCGGGGAGGTGGTTGGCTGAGGCTGAAGAGGCAAAAGTGTAAGATCCAGAGATCGAAATTCTAGTTAGAGCACTTCTATTTGGAATGTGGGTTTTGTTTTGGTCTGGGCGATTATTCCCTGTGAGTTTCAGATTCCTTGCCTCTAAGAAGGAGACAGTTTAGAGTTGTTAAAGGATTGAATAAGGCTGGATGTGATGGTACATGCCTGTAACTCCAGTACTTGGGAGGCTCAGACATGAGAATTGTGAAATTCAGTCCTACCTGAGCTATGTAGTAAGACTGTGTCTCAAAACCCAATCAAATAAAGAAGATAGCCAGGCACCGATGGTTCACACCTGTAATCCTAGTACTCAGGAGACGGAGATCTGAGGATCACAGTTCAAAGCCAGCCCTGGCAGGAAAGTCCATGAAACTCTTTTTTTATTTTATTTTATTTTATTTGTGAACATACTGTACAGAGGGGTTACAATTGCATGGGCAGGATAATGCGTACATTTCTTACCAAGCATTGCAGCCTCCTCCTTTGTTTACCCTTCCCATCCCTTCCCACCCTCCCCACTCCCCCCCATGAAACTCTTATCTCCAACAAACCACCAGAAAAATCAGAAGTGGCATTGTGCTTCAAGTGGTAGAACTCTAAAGGCTAGAGCTGAAGAGCTCAGGTATAGCTCCCAGGTCCAGAGTTTAAGCCCTACAACCAGAAGGAGAAGGAAGAGGAAAGAAGGAGGAAGGAAGAAGGAAGAAGAAGAGGAGAAAAAAAACACTCAGCACTTCATATGATGAAAATATATTTACAATTTAGCATTTTTAATCAGGGACTCAGTGGCCCACACCTGTTATCCCAATTTGGGAGCTAGAGATTAGGAGGACTGTGGTTTGAAGCCCTCCTGTATAAGAAGTTAGGGGAAGTCCATTTTGGTAAACAAAACTGGGCATGCTGGTTCACACCTGGAGTCTCAGCTATGCAGGTGAAGGCCAACACAAACAGAAATGGGAGACCCTGTCTAAAAGCCAACCTAACGCAAAAAGGGATAGAGATGTGGCTCAAGTGATAGAGCACTGTGTAGCAAGTGTGACCAGAATCACTAATAATACAATAAATAATAATTTTAAGAGTAAGTAAATAAGCTGAGGGAAAATGAAGGAAAGGGTGACATTGTCCAACAAGAAATGAACTCTCGCCTAATTTATGAAACTGTAACCCTTTTGTAGATCACCTTTATAATAACCATAAAAATACATTAAAAAATAAACTTAGCCGGGCAGCCAGCCAGGGCAGGAAAGTCCGTGAGACTCTTATCTCCAATTAATCACCAGAAAACTGGAAGTGGTACTGTGGCTCAAGTGGTAGAACATTATTCACCTTGAGGGCTGGGAAGGTGGCTCAGTGGTAGAGCGCTTGCCTTGCATGCATGAGGCCCTGGGTTTGATTCCTCAGCACCACATAAGCATAAAAAAACAAAAAAGCCAGAAGTGGCACTGTGGCTCAAGTGGTAGAATGCTAGCCTTGAGCTGAATAGCTGAGGAACAGCGCCCAGGCCCAGAGTTCAGGCCCCATGACCGGACTCAAAAAAAAAAAAAAAAAAAAACACCTTGAGCTGAAGAGCTCAGGGGCAGCGTTCAGGCCCAGAGTTCAAGCCCCACGACCAAAAAAAAAAGTAAGCAATTTGTTGCCATGTCACTGCTTTCCTCAAATATGGTCTTAAATAGATTCCCTGAAATCCAAGAGCCAAAGATTTAGCTATTACTAACCTAGTAACTTATTACTAACTCCAGTTTCCTCCTCCTCTCTTGTACTCTCTTCCAGTTCTTTTTGATTCTAGAGGTGCTTTTCTCCTGCTTGTGCTTTACCCTTCTTAGAATCTGGTGTGTGTTATACTTCATCTGCAGACAAGAAGGTAACAGTCCTGGGTTTTCACAGATCTTCCTTAAGGAAAAAAAAAAGTCAGGTGCCAGTAGTTCATATCTGTAATCCTAGCTAAGAGGAGGCTAAAATCTGAGGATTGTGGTTTGAAGTCTGGAGGGCCAGGAAAGCTTATGAGCCATTTTATTTCTATTTAACCACCCAAAAACTGGAAGTAGAACCCTAGTCTTGGACACAAAAGGTCAGAGACAGGACCCAGGGCCTAAGTTCAAGCCTTGCTACCACTTGTCTCTGACAGTTACTGGATCAAATTTGGACCACACTAACCTTAGGCCTTCCAGACACCCATTTCCTCAGATAGGGAATTTCTGACTGATGACTGGCTGGCTGTTCACTAACTCCAGGCTACAGGAGGACAGAAAGGAGTTTGTCTGCAATTGTTGGATTTTTTTTTTCTTAATCTGTCATGGGTCTTGAACTCTGGGTCTGGGTACTGTCCCTGAGCTCTTTTGATCAAGGCTAGTGCTCTACTACTTTGAGCCACAGTGCCACTTCTGGTTTTCTGGTGGTTAATTGGAGATACGAGTCTCATGGACTTTCCTGCCTGGGCTGGCTTTGAACCATGATCCTCAGATCTCAGCCTTCTGAGTAGCTAGGATTACAGGTGTGAGACACTAGCACCCAGCTGATTGTTGGATTTTGATATCTTATTTTTGCCTCTCCCTTCCAGAGGCTCCCTGGGCTGTAGAGTGAGGGGCAGAATCAAAACAGCCTGGTCCAAAGAAGTGATTTAGAAAAGGTTGGGATGGGAAGGGGGATAAGAGGGGAAGACAGTGAAAATACTCAAATTCAGATTCTTGGTAGAGCTGGATCTCTTTTCATTTTTATTAAAATGGCTTTCTTCTCTTAGGAAGGGACAACAAAAATTGGAAGGATTGACTCAGACCAGGAGCAGGACATTGGTAAGTGACAGTGATATATAACAGATCTGACACCTGGTGGCAGTTATTCATTCCTAGAAGGTTTCTTCTGAGGAAGTTTTGAGTGGAGAGGAGTCAGCTTTCCTTGCTGCTGCTGGACTTAGACCTGGGACATGGAAGGCAGAAACTTAGCAGACTTTTTAGGTTTGGGTGGCTTCAGATGGTGCTTCTTCCTTTCTCTTGTGGTGGGAGATGGTGCAGATGTTGGATTCTGATCTCACAGACCCAAGTGACCACTACCCCTTCTGTAGTCCTGCAGGGTCAGTGGATTGAGAGAGACCACTGCACAATCACCAGCGCCTGTGGGGTAGTCATTCTTCGGCCTACTCAGGGAGCACGCTGCACAGTCAATGGCAGAGAGGTCACTGCCGCCTGCCGTCTGACCCAAGGTAGGACTGTCTGCAGCCCCTCTGCACCCAGAGACCTGAAGTTTCCTCACATGATCCTCTTCACCTAAGAATGGAGAATGACTCTCTGAAATTTGTACCTGTATTTTTTTTTGGTCGGCCGTGGGGCTTGAACTCTGGGCCTGGGCGCTGTCCCTCAGCTCTTCAGCTCAAGGCGAGCGCTCTACCACTTGAGCTACAGCGCCACTTCCGGTTTTTTTGTTGTTTATTGGAGATAGGAGTCTCACGGTCTCTCCTGCCCGGGCTGGCTTTGAACCGCGATCCTCAGATCTCAGCCTCCTGAGTAGCTAGTATGTACCTGTATTGTTAACTTTGTCCTTATGAAAGTTTCCTCATCTGTACAATAGGGATATTAAATAGGATCATTGTGAGGATTAAATAAGTCCTGCCTTGGCACGTAGTAAAAACATGTCATTATTACTGTCACTACTGTTACTACTACAGAACTCTTTCTGTATTTTGACAGTGAACTTAGATTCTTTCTTCCATGAAGCTTTGCCCAGCTACTCCAGCTGGAACTCAGCTTGCTTCCTCTTGGAGCGCAAAAGTCCCTTTTGGTTTATTTACTTCCCTGTGTGTGCTGGGATACTTATAGTTACTTCATACCAACTCAGCTAAATCATTGACTTGCTAAGGACATGACTTTATCTCACAGTATTTTGCACATAAAATTTAGCCTGCTGGCTGGGCACCGGTAGCTCACGCCTGTAATCTTAGCTACTCAAGAGGCTGAGATCTGAGGATCTCGGTTCAAAGCCAGCCCAGGCAGGAAAGTCCGTGAAACTCTCCAATAAACCACTAGAAAACCGAAAGTGGTGCTGCAGCTCAAGTGGTAGAGTTCTAGTCTTGAGCTGAAGAGCTGAGGGACAGAGCTCAGGCCCAGAGTTCAAGCTCCACGACTGACAAAACAAACAAACAAACAAAAACAACTTGGCTTGCTGATTGAACACTCATGTGTCTCCCATCACAGGAGCTGTGATCACGCTGGGGAAAGCGCACAAGTTCCGGTTCAGTCACCCAGCAGAGGCCGCTGTCCTGCGCCAGCGAAGGCAGGTTAGCCTGGCTGTGGTTTCTAGGCTGCTGCTGGCTTTGTTCTTCTTAGGGGAGAAGCTTGAGCTTTGACCTGTTCTGTTGGCTTGGGGTGATGGTAGCATCTTCACTGTGCCTTCCTCTTTGTGCCAGGTTGGAGAAGCTGTTGGCAACAGTGGCTCTTTGGAATGGCTGGACTTAGATGGAGATGTCACTGCTTCCCGGCTGGGTCTCTGCCCTGTGCTTTGGAAGGAAAGGTGAGAAGTATAAGTTTGTATGGTATGGAGCCTCTGCTTTGCTTTGTAGTCCATTGCAGCGTGGAGCAGAGAGGTGACTAGTGGGGTAGCCAATGTCTCAGTGAACTTTGCCTGAATTGACTTGGTTAATGATTATGGTTCGAATATGAAATGTCTCAGATTGTATGTTGAAGAATTGATCTCTAACTGATGGTGCTGTTTTTGGGAGTTTGGGAAACATTAGGAGGTGAGCTCTAGCTGGAAGAATAGATCACTAGGAGGATTGTATACTTGGAGGATTGTATTTTGTCCCAGGCCCTTCTCTATCCCTCTCCCTGCTTCTTGCTAACCTCACACTCCTCACCATGACATTCAGCTTTGACTCAGGCCCCACAGCAACAGGGCCAGCTGACCATAGACTGAAATCACTAAAATCAACCCGCCACTGCTCAAGCAAGTGGCAGATCTTGACACTGTGCACATAATGCTGGTTTAGCAGGCTAGCAGAGTGCATGAGTACAGGAGTTGTTGAGGCTTCCTCCCAGCTTTCAAGGGTACTCAAGGTGATTGGGCAAAGGAGTATATAAGAGTAGAGAAAAGCCAGGCACCGGTGGCTCACACCTGTAATCCTAGCTACTCAGGAGGCTGAGATGGGGATCATGGTTCAAAGCCAGCCTGGACCGTGAAAGTCTTATCTCCAATAAACAACCAGAAAACCTGAAGGGTCATTGTAGCTCAAGTGGTAGAGCACTAGCTTTGAGCTGAAGAGCTGAGGGACAGAACTCAGGCCCAGAGTTCAAGCCCCATGAATGACCAAAAAAAAAAAAAAAAGTAGAAAAACATGTACATTGTCATCAGGGCTCGCAGAGTGGATTTGTGGCAGTGTCTCCATGAGTCTCTCCTGCTCTTGGATGGGCTTGGCTCCAAAGCTTCCCTGTCCTGCTTTCTTTTTCCTTCCCCTAAGACACTTGCTCAAATGTGTGGGTCTTGGATCCATGAGCTATCAAATCATCTCACAATCTCCTTCCCAGGGAACAACTGCTCTGCCAGTTCTCCCCATCTACTTATTTCACCCATGTGTCCTTCACTGACTGAAAAATTATAATTCTTTCTATGACAAAGGTGTACTTGCTTCTAAAAGCTAGATAGTATTTCAGGCTTTGTGGGCCATATGGCCTCTGCCTCACCTACTCATCTTTGCCAGTATGGCCCCCAAGCAGTACTTGGTAATGCATAAACAAGTAGGCGTGGCTATATTTCTGTAAAAATATATTTACAAAAAGAGGGAGCAGATCAGATTTGACTCCTAGACTACTACATAGTTTGTGGACCTTCATTTTGATACTCTGTGATTTCATTCTACAATTCAAAATGATGTGTTAGTCAGCTGTGTGTTACTATAACAAAATACTTGAAATAACCAGCTTACAAAAAGGAAAGGTATATTTTGGTTCACAACTTTGGAGGTTTCAGATGATGGTCAGTTGGCAATGTTATTTTTGCAGCTGTGACAGCAGAACAGATCATGGTAGGAGTATATGGCAGAGGAAGCCTTCACCTCAGGACAGCAAATATTGAATTAAAAATGGAAGTGGGGGGCTGGAAAGGTGGCTCAGTGGTAGAGTGGTTGCCTCACATGCATGAGGCCCTGGGTTCGATTCCTCAGCACCACATAAGCAGAAAAAGCCAGAAGTGGTGCTGTGGCTCGAGTGGTAGAGTGGTAGCCTGGGGCTGAAGAGCTGAGTTCAGGTCCTATGCCCAACCAAAAAAAAAAAAAAGGAGGGGACAGGGTTTCCAGTGGCCTAACTTCTTCCACTAGGCCCCGCCTCCTAAAGATTCCACTGCTTCCCAGTAATACCATGACTGGGCCCAAGCTGTTGACACATTGGCCTTGGGGGACATTGATGGTCCATAATATAGTGAGTGGTAGGCTGAAAAGAATTTAATTCCTCCAAGCAAATGTCTCATACTACTTGAGATCTGGTTCTAACATCAAGCCAGTAAGGAAGCCTTGCCAAGCCTTCCTCATGATGGCCTGGGAGAGGAGTAGAGGTGAAGTAGGAGTAGAGGAGTAGAGTAGAGCTAGGCAAAGTAAGCCTAATTCTGGATTTTTGGTTAGCCTCTCGAAGAATCTGATCTTCCCAGATACTCCCATCCCCACTCTGAAGTAGCCATGCAGTTGAGTGGGCTCTTTTACTTTTTATTTTTATTCGTTTATTTGAGACAGGATCTTGCTATGTTGCAAGTTAATTTTGAACTTCTGGGCTTTAAGCAATCTTCCTGCCTCAGTCTCCCAAATAGAACTATGTAGGAGTGTGCAACCATGCCAGTTATATGCAGTTAGCTTTTTATTTTCTTGGTGCCATCCTGGGCCTTGAACTCAGGGCTTAGTCGCTGTCCCTGAGCTCTACTTGCTCAAGGATAATGCTCTACCATTTTGAGCCACAGAGCCACTTTCAATTTTCTGGTGGTTAGCTGGAGGTAACGGTCTCATGGACTTTCCTGTCCAAGCTGGCTTTGAACCATGATCCTCAGATCTTTAGCCTCCTGAGTAGTAGCTAGGATTACAGGTATGAGCCACTAGCACCCAGCTGAATCTAAAACTCTTTTTTTTTTTTGGGGGGGGTCCGGTTGTGGGGCCTGAACTCTGGGCCTGGGCGCTGTCTCTCAGCTCTTCAGCTCAAGGCTAGCACTCTACCACTTAAGCCTGAGCGCCACTTCCGGCTTTTTTCTTTTTGCTTATGTGGTGCTGAGGAATCGCACCCAGGGCCTCATGCATGCAAGGCAAGCGCTCTACCACTGAGCCACCTTCCCAGCCCTGAATCTAAAACTCTTTAAGCCCTATTCTATCTCTCTTCCTGGGACAAGCTGTCTTGGGGTCTCCTGTGAGACACAGGTCTGACACCATATACATTCGCAATTCAGCACAGCTGCGTCTCATGGCCAGGTGGTGGGACTGTCTGCTTACAGTTCCAGGGAGGGAAGTGGCCCCGCCCTCCCAGCACCCCCTAGTTTTCCTGCCTGATGTTTCTGTAGCTTTGCTATACTTAGGAGTTGCCCACACTTTTTTAGCTAAAGCCTTTTTGTTTTAGGAACAAAACTTCTAGATCTTTTGGTACCTTTTAAAACACATCTGTTGCCGGGCGCTGGTGGCTCACGCCTGTAATCCTAGCTACTCAGGAGGCTGAGATCTGAGGATCTCGGTTCAAAGCCAGCCCGGGC